TGCAGACAAAAATCCATACCTGTAAACATGAATGAATAAATAAATAAATAATAAATGAGCATTTAAAATAAAAGTTGACAGTCTTAGGAGATGACTCAGTGAAGGATCTAAGTTCAGTGTCCAGAGACCTTTTTGTTTGTTTGTTTGTTTTGTTTTAAAGATGAAGATCATGGTATGAGTTTGTAATCTCAGAGCTGGGGACACTTGGATGGGCAGGTCCTTAGGGCTGGCTACCCATTTAGCCTAGACTGTTTGACAAGGTCTAGCCCAGTGAGAGCTCTTGTCTCAAAATATAGGGTGGACACTGTTCTCTAGGGGCAGGCAAGGTTGAGTGTCCTCCACCCACTCGTACACACATGCACACTTAGACACGTGAGCGTGCACATATGCACGTATGCTTAAACAAATCCACGACAGAAAGAGCTGCCAAGAATTAAGTGCTGCATTGTATTCACCTGCCGCACCCTATTAGATGGCGAGGATTTTCTTTGCTCAACCTGCTAATGTCTTTTATGTTAAGGGAATCAAGTTTTCAGGAGCAGCCCGACATCTGCTGTGCACCATGGCCACGGTGGTTTAGATGACCACATTCCTCTAAGCCGAAATGAGAATCAGTTTCCGAGTGCAGTGTTAGCCTTGGAGATTTTGTGCATTCTGCCTTTGTGTGCACCGGTTGCCACCCCTCCCTGTGAGCCACTGTATCTAGTGCCTTAAGTCCACTGGTTTCACCTCTTCTCAGCTGGCTGAGGATCAAGCCTGCTCCAAAGGAGACTGATTGAAAAGTTCCCCTATTGTGAGTTACTGGCATGTTTCCATTTTCTTAGAATGTTCAGATACTGCACTCACCTCATTTCCCTGCCCTAGAAAATGTTCACATTTATCCCTTCAGCAGGTGGGTTTGGACTTCGCTAACCTTAGCAGCTGTCTGTTTTCTGTGGCAACCATTTTCTTTTTTATTGATTTTATTGAGCTATACATTTTTTTCTGCTCCCCACTTCCTGTCCCCTACCTTGTCTTGTTCCTGATTTCAGTGGGGTGGCTGGGAGTTTCTCTCCATTTAGTTTGATGTTGACTGGTGGCTTGCTGTATATTGCCTTTATTATGTTTAGGTATGTTCCTTGTGTCCCTGCTCTCTCCAAGACCTTTATCATGAAGCGATGTTGTATTTTGTCGAAAGCTTTTTCAGCATCTAATGCGATGATCATGCGGTTTTTATTTTTCAATTTGTTTACATGGTGAATTACGTTGACAGATATTCATATGTTGAACCATCCCTGCATCTCTGGGATGAAGCCAACTTGATCATGGTGGGTGATGGTTCTGATGTGTTCTTGGATTTGATTTGCCAGTATTTTTGGATCAATGTTCATGAGTGAGATTGGTCTGTGATTTTCTTTCTTAGTAATAACTTTGTGTGGTTTGGGTTTCAGAGTAATTGTAGCCTCATAAAAAGAGTTTGGCAATGTTCCTTCTGTTTCTATTGTGTGGAATAATTTGAGGAGTATTGGTATTAGTTCTTCTTTGAAAATCCTGTAGAATTCTGAGTTGAAACCATGTGGTCCTGGGCTTGTTTTGGTTGGGAGACTATTGATGACTGTTTCTGATTCTTCAGCAGTTATAGGTCTATTTAACTGTGGCAACCATTTTCTAATGAGCAGCAGCCTGGTTGGATCCTGCTGACCCCACAGTCCCCAAGCGTTGCTCTTCTGCACAAGTGGCCTGTTACTGACATAAGTTGAATTCTGCTTTCTGTTGATTTGCGTTTTCACTTCGCCTGTTCTCCTTTCTTTACTAGCCCGTGGTCTGTTGCCAATGTCTCTTTACACAAACCATAACACCTGGGGATCTGAAGAGCCATTTTCATGGTGCAAAGTTTCTGTTTGACTTGCCACCTCCAATTTCTTTGTTTCTATGTAACAGTTGTCTCCAGAGTAGCTACCGCTGAAGTCAAACACACTTGCCCTGTGCTTTCACTTTCCCGTTTGCCCTGCCAGCACAGCCATGACTAATGCCAGTCCATGAGAGCACACAGCGGCCCTTGTAAGTGGACCTTCCTTTTCTTTTACACGGTTCATGCAATGCACCAACCTCTCACAGAACAAGGGCTTGGTGTGGAGGTGATTACTTCCTGTTATGAATAGAGAACTTGTTTGCAATTGGGCTGGTGACTTTAGAGAGCTCATTTCGTGGTAAGGGGAGAAGGCAAGGGGTTGTGTCCTTGAGTAAATGGCCTGGCCCTGGGAGCTTGCTGAGGGTGGGTGGGGCTACCAAAGGGCCATTGTTTAATAGGGCCCAGTGATAGGACCTCAGTGCTTTGCCACATAGGTTGCCAAGGACTGACAACCTGTCTCCTGTTGTTCTCACAGTGACAGTCAAGGTTCCCAGTGTGCTAGATGGCAACCTCCATGTCACTCGTGACTTTCCTACAGGGATGGCGGATCTGTTAGCCTAGCCCTTTCCAGATTTGCATTGGTGTCTCCTGTATCGATTCTGGTCAGTAAAGGAGATGACAGTCTGGGAACCTTATGCTAAGCACAGCAACCGTTTGTTGAGAAAACAGCAAATAAGGGGTTTCTACCTCACTCGCTGTCTACCTTATTATTCCGAGACAGTGTTTCTCACTGAGCCTGGAGCTTGCTCATTGGGCTAAGATGGCTGGTCTCCACCTCTCCAGCGCTGGATTTACAGACATGCACCGCAGGACCAGGCTTTTCCTGGGTTCGGGGGATTTGAACTCAGGTCTTCAGGCTTATTCAGCAATCACTTTACCGATGACGCCATCTCCCCTGTCCTGTCTATCGGGTACTTTAATAAGCCTCTCAGAAAGTCCTCAGATACAGTACAATCGGGGACCAACCCTAGAATTGGGGCCCCAGCTTCTTGGTCCTGTCCTTTCCCCCATCAGTGATTTGTGTTGGTAACCCACCCCTCCCCCAACAGGGTTCCATCAGCCACTGACCTAAGACGATCAGAGCTGGGGAGGAGGGGCCTTGTTGGGAGGTCTTCCTGCAGTTTGCCAGTTTGCATCCTATTTACAGATCTCCCTTGTTTTTGTTGGGTTATCCGTGAGACATTCTCATTCTCTGAGAGTGAACTGGAGGCAGTAGGAAGCCCCGGGCTTCCCACTTCTTACCATGTGTCTCTGCTATAACATAATCTGCTTATGAATAACTGAGTGTGACTTGTCATTGAGCTCTTTCGCTAGAAGCCCATCTTTTCTGTTCCCTTCCACAGCCCCAGTTATTGCCCCAGTTGGCTGCTGTGTTCTCTGGCTTCTTAGTGCTATAAGATTCAGTGGGAGCTGATTGGAGTCTTTCAAAAGCATGGAAACAGCAGGGCCTGACGTGTGTGTGTGTGTGTGTGTGTGTGTGTGTGACCTCTAAGGACCCTACCCCAGAACTACTACAGACTTTGTAGGGTGAAAAAGAAAGGTTAGCGGCTGTAAGTGAATGACTTACACAACCACTCATTGGCAGAGATTCAAGCGCAAACCTCGCCTTTAGGAGGCAGAGGGGATCTGATGGAGCCTTTAGGAGGCAGAGGGGATCTGATGGAGCCTTTAGGAGGCAGAGGGGATCTGATGGAGCCTTTAGGAGGCAGAGGGGATCTGATGGAGCCTTTTGTGAAGGGTGAGGATAAACAGCTGACTGGTAACCAGGGCTCTTGGGCAGAAATGGCTCCATTTCCCATGTTCTCAGGCTGTGTTTTGGGAACAGGAACTGAACCTTAGCAGAGAGAGTTGTCTTGGCTACAGGTCCCCAGTGGCATGGGGAGCCCAGGCTCTGTCCTTAGCCATGTGGGGGATTCCAGGTTTGGTCTTTTGTTGGCTCCCAAGCTTAGTTCCTTGTGGCACGAGGGACTTCCAGACTTTGTCCCCAGTGCTGTGAAGGGTTTCCAGTCTTGGTACCCAGTGGTGTTGGAGTGGGGGGTCTTCACAGGCTCCGTTTTCAGTGGCATGGGAGCTCCAGGGAGAGGTCTTCTATCCTTTTGTTCCCTTGTTTAACTGCATTTGGGTGGCAGAAGCAGGTTGTCGTGAGTGCAGACAAGGTGCCCTCACAGTGTCCGAGGGCTGCTGCCTTTCACGGGCAGATGTCTTGCAACAGCTTCTCAGCATCTGCTCTTCACTGAGCAGCTCACTTTTGCAGCTGTGAGAGCTTAGCTAATTTTAGTCTGTCTGGATGGTGGCTCGCATCTGCGATGCCGACAGAGGCTGAGGTGGGGGTGGGGTTGTTGTGGGTGCCGGCGAGGTTCACAGTGACAGCTTGGTCTTAGTTGCTACCATGGAGGACACCTTCTTCCTTTTTTGCTGCAGTTGTTTGGAGATAAGGTCTCAGCTTTGTAGTATACGTGTTCATGTTATATGTATGTGCAGTAGTCGAGTGGTACTAGTTTACCTGTAAGCATGCTTACTATCCGGCCATGATCCTAGTCTAGAACACCTTGTTAGCACCTATCATATAATGCCATAATGCCCTGCCAATTTTGAGTCATGGCCTATGTAAAAATATTCCATACCTGCACAGCCTCTCAAGTGTTGGGATTACAGACAAGAGCCATTCCCCAGACAACTATCTGAAAGGTCACAGCTGCAGGACTGAGCTGCCCAAGAAGGAACAGATGCTGAGAACCTGCCACTGGATATCTGTCCATGAGGAGTCCATGAGGACACCTTGCCTGCAGGGGGCCCACATCCTGCTGTTTGATCAGCCTGTTTCTCTGCAGCTGGGCCTCTCAGTCTTCCCTGACTCCCTGTGTTGAGCACGTTTCTGTCCTGATCTCTCTCTTTGGGACCTTTATCCAAGGTGAGACGGACATTTCCATCAGCCCCACCTTGTGTTCCCTAGAACTCAGTCACAAGGAAGGAACTACAGGGATGTGGAAGGTCTGCCTGCTACTGAGTTTGAAGGACGTATTTTAACTTCTTTGGGTACTTCTGCTATTTAGACCCAATTTAGTTAAGACGTGACTAACGGAGTTTTTTTTTTCTTTTTTCTTATTAGAGCACGAAGATGGACTGGACCAAGAATTTGAGCTGGGCACAGACACTCTATTTGGAGGACTGAAGAAGGTATGGGGTGGACAGTGACCAGCCTTCTGATGCTGCCAGTGCTAGCCTTGCTTTATGTGATGGAGGAGTGCTCGGTGCTCTGTGCCTTTTCTGTGGAGAAGGTAGAGTGTGCTGTGTTGGTCAAGGCATCAGACTTGTGTTCTATTCTTCTTTTCTGGAAGTGCTGTGCTTGGGTACCAGCTTCTCTTCTTCCCCTGGAAAGAGAGATGCCAGCTTCCCCTTCTGCTCCCATCAGAAACTCTGTCTTAGTCAGTGTTCTACTTCTGCGAAGGGACACCATAACCAGAGCAATTCTTATAAAGGAAGGCATTTAATTAGGGGCTCACTTAGTCCATTATCATGGCAGGGAGCATGGTGGCACACAGCAGACATGGTGCTGGAGAAGTAGCCGAGAGTTCTAAATCCTGATGCACAGGCAAGGCCACCCCTCCTAATCTTTCTGAAGTAGTGCCACTCCCTGATGACTAAGTATTCAAATAGATGACCTTATGGGGGTCATTCTTATTCAAACCACCACCACCTCCTTCCCTAACAGGACCCAAGTCAGTGTTGACTCAGATGGTGGGAGGCTCAGGGCAAGTTGATGGTGGGATTCAAGGCAAAGCCAAGTCTGAATGGTGTATTCATTTTTCCACTTTCAGTGTTTAAGTGTTTGCTAAAGTACTTCAGTGTTTAACGAGTGCCGGCAGGGGCAGGGTCTTCTCCAGCTTTACTCTGTGTGTATAGCGCCCCTATCCTGAGACTGGCTGCTCTCATGAACTGGTTTGAGGCATAAAATGGCACTTCATTTTCGGAATTCCCTGTTTCCCGACAAGTGTTTGGAGATAGTCATTTCCAAAGGGCCACTGACCACCCTGTCCTGAGGCCTGTACCGGGGCAATTTCAGGTCCTCGACTTGTAGCAGCTCTGCTTCAGCTCTCTTCCTCCTTCCCCAGGCTGCCAGCCCTTCTCCCGCTCTGTGTTGGATGCCAGGCTGCTGTTTGCCTCCCCATGTGTGGGGTGTCTTCCCTGGCATTTGTGTTGTTCTACCCACTGGACATTTTCATGAAAATCCAGATGTGGGCTGCAAAGATAGCTCAACCAATAAAGCACACGTCGATACAGGTATGAGGACCTGAGTCGATTCCTTAGAATCTATGAAGAAAACCGAGTGTAGGGCTGGTGAGATGGCTCAGTAGGTAAAGGCACTTCCTGCCAAGCTCAGTGACCCTAGTTCAGGCCCAAGAACCCACACTAAGTAAATAAACGGCTTCTGAAAGCTGCCCTCTGACCTCCACATGTGTACTCTGGCGTACACACACACACACACACACACACACACGCACACTCCTATACGTATACACACATATTCACCCAGATACACAACCCCTTATACAATTGGATGTAAATTGTACTTGCACCTGTGACCTCTTTTCTGGATGTTTGTCTTTCATGACGGCACTATTTAGAATCGTTAGTAAGAACAGAAGCTTGTGCTGCTTGAAAGATGAGGGAACTGGGAAGGTTTGGTCCCGGTGGGATTTGAGAAGTCTGGGAGGTAGCCCTGTGGGTCACTGTGGATACAGTGTTACCGCCTCTCTTACAACAGCCTTACAGGCGTTTCAGGTAGCACAGAATTGTTGGCCGGAGGCAGCACCTGCCCTGGAGCAGAGACTCTGCTGGAGAGAAGCTTAGGGAGGAACTCAGGGTTAGGCACTGAGAGGCTTAGG